TTTTTAGTGGAGCTCTCCATCATGCCTCTTAAGGGTGTGATTTTTTAGTGGAGCTCTTCATCATGCCTCTTAAGGGTGATTATGGAGCGTGAAAAGACCCCCTATGGTGTCCTAGGGGAGTCATTAGTAGTCCTCCTGTACTTTTCAAATCTGAAAGCCTGGCTATACGCCGGCCTATACGCTAGAGTCCCAGTGGTGGGCAAACTTTTCAAAGCGAGGGCCGCATCAGTGGGCCATGAAAAGTCAAAGGGCCGCACCTTTTAAAATCGGGCGGTGCGCTCTAAGATAATACGTGCGTTTCGCCTCAAGGGCGCCATCTCTGGACCATAATTAGCTGAAATGGTGTTGCAGAGCGAACCAGAGACAATAGAACACTAATCTGTATAACACTGAAAAAGTCAGCCTCGGTTCAAGCACAAACATGTTGACTTTCACAAAAATTTATTGATTTAAAATTTTAAAATTTTTTTTGATATTTTGATATTTTTATTTTTTTTATTTGCTGCAGGCTTCCGCGGGCCGCACAGAACCCCGTAGAGGGCCGCATGCGGCCCGCGGGCCGCAGTTTGCCCACCCCTGCGCGGCTAGACGCTACGCTATATACGCTATACGGCAGGCTATACGCCGGCCTATACGCTATATATACGCTATACGGCGGGCTATACGCCTGCCGCAGGGCTATACGCAGGGCTTGCGGCAACTGTACGTGGGCTGGTACTACTACTACTAGAGCTAGCTAGCTCAGCCACAGCCATGCCCAGGCACCGCCTACGGCTACACTACACTAGGGCCTACAATACAGTACAGAGTACAGGCACTTGGAACGTCTCAATAAAAATAAAAAAAGTCAATAAACACGAAATGTATTTACTACCAAAGTCTTAATGTTTCTCTACTCTATTTCGCCTATAATCACCTGTAAATGCCGGTCAAATGCTCATCTGCAACACACCCGTAAGTACAGTACACCGCATGCTAGATTATAGATACAATAATGTAACCCAAGCACAGGATAGGTTACATTATTGTGTTTGGGTTACATTATTGTATCTAACCGCACGCTAGCTGCTGCACTGCACACTGACACATAAATATATAATATAGCCTAGGCCTAAATACCTAATAAATAAATAAATATATATATTTATGTGTCGGTGTGCAGCAGCTAGCGTGTGGTGTACTTGTGTGTAGCAGATGAGCATTTACAGGAAATTGTCGGCAATAATAAGTGAAAGAGAGTAGAGAAACATTAAGACTTTGGTAGTAAATAGATTTCGTATTTATTTAGCATTATATTTTATTGTTAACGGTTGCTATGCAAAACACGTGTGAAAAGCTACAATCGGCTGGAGCGTCATTTTACTTATAACGATTCATACACATCATTCCTCCGCGGGTGAAGTAGTTTATTTATAGTGGTATTTTACCAGTGCAGCGTTTATTTTTTTTTAACTGCTGGATTTAACAATAAAAACAAGGCATTCTAACTATAGTTTAAATGTAAAATCTAGCATGTTATTATCAATTATTGGCAATTCCAAAGCACCACGATTTTTCCCAACATTTTATCTCTACATAATGGTACATGAGGAATCATAAAAAACTACACAGCAGATATGCAAAACAATATCTCGACAAGCATCCTGGAACTAATCCAGACACACATACAGTATAACTGTTAGTAAATAGTCATTGTGGCTTGAAAACACAAATTCTTTTAAAATTGTTTATGCAAATGCAACTACACTGGGCTTTCACAAACTAAATTTATGTATAGTTTAGTACCGTCATACTGTTGGAAATCAGAAGCAAAACTAGAAAGTACGTATGAAACGTCGGTCAAAAACATCGATCGTAATGTATACACAGTAGCTCAGCTGGCGGGAACCTATTGTTTATCCCGAATGACCCATGACCTGAGTAAACTCGCGCATGCGCAGTTGTAATGCCGAACTCGCCTCTTAACATAGCCAAATTGGCCCGTTTATGAAATGAAAACGATCGCACGACAAAAACACATCCCTAGTGGCGCTCTCATTTTATAGAGGGGGTCTTCCCTCCACCACCATCATTTCATAATATTAGGGGGTAGACACACCATTCGGACTGATTGCAAAATCAATAACATCTGCACAAAATTTGCACTTATAGGTGATATTATGCATGGGTAGAAGTTAATTCTAGTTCTTCCCAATTCTTAGTTCAAAACTAAACATATTAACAATAACGCGTGTGCTTATTTTGAAGATTCATGCGGTTGCACGTCTGCCAAATTGTCTTTGGACATTTGCTGAAAAAATACGACTATTCCGCGAGGCGTGCTCTGGAACGAACTAGTTAGTATAGCAGAATTTTCAGGGAGTCGCACGGACTCCAGCATATGTCAAATCAAGTAGTCCGACAGAAAATCAGGGAGTATTTGACTCCGGACTCCCGTTAATTTCGCACCCTGTAATGTGTAGTACTTAGTGCAAATATTTGTCATGTTTATAATAAGAATTGGCCTACAGCATTGCCAGCCATGCTGTAAACATTCTTCTCAGATTCTAGTTGTATGTTGTAGTATACCCCCTGTAGCAGGAGTGAAGGGGCTATACGGGTAGTGCTACTATCAATCGTGGTCTTTACACAAGCACTTATTTATATCACTGAATTGTGAATGTGCATGGAAAAATTTATTACGTACAATGCTCAGGGAAATTTTGAGGTAAATTCTTAGCTCGGGTTTGTTGAATTAAACATAGTAAATCATTTGTAGATTAGAGCCGGCAAACGTATCTCCGATAATTAATTTTAGCCTTGCCCCTCCGTTGTTTGTATTCAATAGTGATGTCATGTGGTTTCTGATCATGGGTGGCTATGTACCAAAGGTTGGTACATGCACAATATAGTTACAAAGTAGATTTCATTTACATGACTTCATTGATGTCATTGTGTGCAGTGCTAATGTTCTCGAGAAATCTTGTATTTTATTGTAGCACTTCGCCTGAAATTCAGATTTTCTTCACCAATCTTGCCAACTTCCATCTTGCCGGCATCATCACAATTACTACATACCCAGTCTCACAGTCACAGTGATGAGAAATGGACAAAAGAGGAATTGAGGTTTGTAAAGAGCTATTTTATGGTTACTCACGCTCATAGGTCTATGTCCCCCAGGGTACTGCCGGAACGTACCCTGGGTACGGTCCGGTATACCGGAACGTACCCTGGCACTATCTAATATGCCGGACCGTACCTCGCCTACTCCACTAACGAGTCTAGGGAGTCGCCTACGCCTACTCCCTAACCCTAACCACAACCCGAACCTTAACCCTAACCCTAATCCTAACCCTAACCATATAAAATAGTGACCAGGGTACGTTTCGGTATACCGGACCGTACCCAGGGTATGTTCCGGCAGTACCCCGGGGGACATAGACCCTCTCAGCGTTACTCACAGGTTTTACTAGAAGAAATGTGGGAAAAAATTTTGCAGGGTGGTCCACAACCTAAAATTCAAACATGTAAAACTGGGAACTTTAGAGGAGTACTTTAGATATTATTTGCACTTAGCGCACATCAGAGCGCGAAGCGCGAAGTCACTTGCAGCCAGGGTCCAGGGGTTTTATTTGCTCTCTGGTGCAATCTGAGCCTTATTATGGAGCATTTTTGCACAAAATCTATGACCTATATTTCAAAATAATTTGGGTTGAGTGAGTCATGAGTGATGAGTCATTTTTCATTGTTCAATTTGTATACTAGTGTGAATGTAACCAGTAAAATGTTATAAAGAAATGTGCGAAAAATGCAAATAAATATACTATATTATAAGGTGAAACTATCTTACTGACTAGAAAATCAAATCTCGTAATAAAGGCTTTAAAATCCCAGTTTCCTTTTCCTAATTGCTGCCCAGGCATCAGCTGCCTCATGGAAAGGGAAGTCCTTAGCTGATGGGCCTTCCACAGACACCATCATAAGGGCATTTAGTGTGTTATGATTCCATCTTATTAGAAGTCTAGTTGGAAGGAATCTGATGAAATAGGCTGGTTATTGTGAGCTGTTTTTTATTCCTAGCAGATTGCGAAGCACTATGATATAAGGCTCACAACAATTGAAAGTCTATGTTAGACAAGTTATTCGTTTTGCTAGTTGCCCGATTGGACAAGTCACAACTACAAAATTTCTAGTTGTGTAATATTCCTAACATCCTTTGAGGCTAGGGGGCTATCACACGGCATTCTCACATTACCGCGTTCACACGGTAATGGTTTGGCTCGAGCTAAATGGGCTAAATTTGGCTCAGACTAAATTTGGCTCGGGCCGGTTTGAGTCGGAGCATTCACACGTACGCAAGTGAATACTGTATGTCAAATTCAAATTCAAATAAATTTTATTGCACAAATATCTCAGATACTTTAGCAGTATGTCGCGAGATGGCGTTGTGTACGATTCAGTGTTTACTTCCGTTCCGAGTTCAATTATCAATCTTGAAAACATGCATCCTGATCAAATTTTTCGAATTTTTATACTGTTTTGGACTTTATTTTGTCGAAGTACACGTTCGACACTCGCGGCGTCTACCGCTCTACCGATTTAGCTGGTGCTAAAATTTGGCTCGGGCCTGGTCAGACGTTTTCGACGGGACCAAATTGGCTCGTGCTAACTCGGCACGGCCCCGAAAAACCGTCCGTCTGAACGCTCGGCTCGAGCCAAATTTGGCGCGGGCCTAATTAGGCTTGGGCTAAAAACGTCGTGTGAACGCGCCTTATATTTTCAAAGGTCGTCGAGAAACACCCACAGAGACAGGCACATGAGCAGGAACGCATACAGGCACGCGCGCATGAATCTAAAGGGGTGGACACACTTGCCGATTTTTCATGCGGTATCGCGGGGCGGCTCCAGTGTCCCGGTCGCAGTCGCGGTTGATTTTCGGGCCGGCCGGCTGAGCCATGTTTGATAATTATTTGAGCCGGCCGGCTGCAATCGCCTAGTGTGCCCGTGTCTGCGATTGAGTTGGCCGATTGTACAATTCATCAGCCAATCAAATCATAATTAGTTGGCACATGATCCACAGAGTCGCCCCGCTCAGCCGCGTAGTGTGTCCGCAGAGCTCTAGACTCAGCCGGCCGGCTAAATCGCTGACCGGCTGAGCCGGCCGGCTCGACCGCATGAAAAATCGGCTAGTGTTTCCACCCTTTAAGCAAGCAGCTCAGAAGACGTAGACGCACTGTATGATTCGACTGCCTGACAAGTGGGAGCACATGTACAGAGTAAAACAGTGTAATAGACTGTAATAGTGTATGCTACAAGCACGCGCTGTGACTACGCGTACGTCGTCCCGTTCGACCGTGCAGTACAGTTGCATTTTGCTTTGTTTGTGTTGTTTTTTGCTTTGATATTTCAAACCTGTCGCCCTGTAACAAGTATAGGAACTGCAAGGCTTAATTTTTAGCTCACCTTGACATCGTCAAGATGAGCTATTTCCATGGGGCGTTGTTCGTCGTCCGTCCGTCCGTCCGTCAACATTTGGCTACGGTCAACGGTAACCTGAGAACCGTTTGACCCACATGTTTCAAATTGCATACACTTGTTACTCCTATGGGAGAGATGTGAACGTCCTATTTTGGAGCACGCCAGTTGACGTACTTTTGAGCCACGCCCACTTTTTGGCAAAAATGGAAATGGCCATAAGTCCGTTCAGGTTCCACGGATTTAGCTCATTTTTGGTATGTGAATGAATAACGACTGGCCCCAAAACATATCGCAGGGGTTTTGATATTTTTTTTAAAATTATGCAAATTGGGTAGATTTTGGCAATTTCACTATGCATTTCAGTGTCTGCCTGCGGTCAACGATAACTCAAGAACCGTTTGACCCACATGTTCCAGATTGCATACAGTTGTTACTCCTATGGGAGAGATTTGAACGTCCTATTTTGGAGCACGCCAGTCGACCTACTTTCGAGCCACGCCTACTTTTTGGCAAAAATGGAAATGGCCATAAGTCAGTTCAGGTTCAACGGATTTTGCTCATTTTTGGTATGCGAATGAATAAGGACTGGCCCCAAAACATATCACTCAGGTTTTGATATATTTTTTTAATTATGCAAATTGGGTAGATTTTGGCAATTTCACTATGCATTTCAGTGTCTGCCTACGGTCAACGATAACTTAAGAACCGTTTGACCCACATGTTTCAAACTGCATACAGTTGTTACTCTTATTGGAGAGATTTGAACGTCCTATTTTGGAGCACGTCAGTCGACCTACTTTCGAGCCACGCCCACTTTTTGACAAAAATGAAAATGGCTATCTAGATTCATTTGATTTTGTTGGTTTAGTTCTCCCATATATACTCTTGTTTTATATAATGTAGGTGGATAGTTGCTGAATTAAAAATGACTTGTTGGCACTCGCTCATTTGTGTACTTTTTTGTGGGGAGCTATAGTGTCATTGACACTTTCATTACCAAAACCATTGGAACTATTGTGATTCGTTATATAAGTATTATTTTTCTGCAATGGCCCATCTAATATCTCTCCTTGAATCAAGAAGTGAGACAAAAAATTTGACTACACTTTTATTGTTAAGTTGTATATCACATGTTTGATATAGATACTGTGTGTTGGGTCATGTGTTGGGAAAATCCATACGCACATCACGCATGGAGATACAAAGTCTGTCGAGCTGCGGGAGACAGAAGAAAATTGGCCCGGCAACAAAAATTGCAACAATAGCCACAATCATAATGCAAAATTTTCATCATGTGAGCACATAACATGATGTGCAGGGCCATCGTAATACGAAATATCACAATGTAAATAGAATGTTGTATGAGATCCAACTGTATATCTAAAATATCAATTAACCCGACTTGTGACGTTGTTTTAGCCTGGTACCCTGCAGACACCAAAGTACAGAGGCTAGTTCTCCAGTTCCAAGAAAGGGGTACTCGCCCTTCCAGCCTAGTTTTGCTTCAAACAAAGCGGAGTTTGCACTAGCTAGGGTTGATGATCTTCTTAACTGGGCCAGAAAGGTATGTCTAACAGCTTGAACTTTTGTTTTTACTCTTGAAATTTTTTTTATTATGCAAGCGTATCAGTTAGATTAGTGTACTCACTATAAATTTCCCTTTGTTTGTGCATTGAATGTTGTTTATATACTCGTGCAGAGTTCATTATGGCCGATGACGTTTGGCCTAGCGTGCTGTGCAGTAGAGATGATGCACATGGCTGCACCACGTTACGACATGGACCGCTTCGGTGTTGTGTTTCGTGCCAGCCCGCGTCAATCCGATTGCATCATCGTCGCTGGAACTCTTACAAACAAGATGGCACCAGCATTTAGAAGGGTGAAAATTACATATAATAAATGTTGATCTATTTACACAGATAATTTATGCATGAAGCCATGAACCAGTATTTGGCAGAGTAGTGTAGTATCGTTACACTCTACTTGAAGTTGGATGTTCTAGCATATCTTGGCAATAGATGTTGCTTACAATAGAAGTATAGTAAAATCAGGTGACATCTGGTTATGTATTAATTGTGATATTATGTATTATTAGGAGTAAATAATCTTAAACGAGCTTGACACGTATTTTTTTTCTAGTGTTTTTACTGATTTTCCACTTCAAATTTTGGCATAAAGAAAAAGAAAAATGTATATATGTTCTCGAGATTATTTCGTACCTTTATTATTTGCCCATCTTGTACTGAAATCGGTATATAGCAATTTACAGTTGTATTGCTGTAAATTGTATTCAAACATGGTGTTGATTCAGAGGCTTTTCAGGATGTCACATATGTGTAGGCGTATTTTGTTGAGCAATACTAGCGAAAACTACTCCAATCCTCTGCATGTGACTCGGCAGGGATTTGAGATACCCAGTGCCAAACAATATTGTCAATAAACAATTACTTATTTCATTAGTTTTTCGTCTAGTAAGATATGTATTCACCTGCGAACACAGTACAATTGTGTACATACGGTCTTTGCACATACTTACGTGTAAATGCATGCACATACTTACGTGTAAATGCATGCACGTACTACGTGTTTGAGGCATTGGGCCTCTCAAATCCCTGCCAAGTGGTATGCAGATGATTAAATACGTAGTTGTCGCTAGTATCACTCAACGAAATACGCCTACATAAATGTGCAAACATGCCGAAAAGCCTCTGAATCAACACCGTGTTTGAATACAATTTATAGCAATACGACAGTAAATAGATATAAATCGATTTTAGTACAAGATAGTCAAATATTAAATGTACGAAATAAGCGCAAGAGCATATACGTTTTTGTTTTTACTTATGCCAAAATTTGAAGTGGAAAATCTAAAAATGCAGGAAAATATGTGTCAAACTCCTTTGAGCTTATTTACTCCTGGTATTATGTATATATTACGTGGTTCTGAATGCTCAGCCATATAGAGTAGGTAATCGACTAAACAATGTGTTTTACCAGCTCTGTGTTTTTGCTATGTCATACAGATATACGATCAGATGCCAGAGCCACGGTGGGTTCTTTCAATGGGTAGCTGTGCCAATGGTGGTGGCTATTACCATTATGCTTACTCTGTAGTGAGAGGATGTGACAGGATAGTCCCAGTAGACATATATATACCAGGTATGCGTTTAATGATGTTCACATGTGTAAAAATTTAAAGTTCACACTGTCTTATCATCTTATTCTTTCTGTCTTGTCTTGTCTTGTTATTGTCTTATGTGTTGTTTGTCTGTGTTTTGTTTATCTGTTTGTGTTTTGTCTGTGGTGACATTAGAGATTGATGATCAAAATGTATTTTTCTTAGCCAATTCATTTCTTTAGATATAGCATTCACTCTAACCTCTGGTTTATTTTAGGCTGCCCACCAACTGCAGAAGCATTGCTGTATGGTATCCTACAGCTTCAGAAGAAGATAAAGCGAATGAAGATGGTGCAGATGTGGTACCGAAAGTAATGTGACTTTATTTATGTATAATATGGTGGCTTCTGTTGTGTGTGTTGCAGCTGTTGTGCCTAGCAAGTCCTTGGTGATCAGTGTTGCAAGGAGTCTAAATAAGCAGCAAATCGACTTAGTTGCCAATTTAGTCGGGAGTTATTTTCGGGAAGAGATTTAATGCACAATTTGTAATTTTCCTTGAAAACCTAGAAATGTAGAGTATGTAACTTTATGGTTTTATAGGGTTATTATGTATTCACATCTCATGCTGCATTGCAAATGGTGTTCGTTTGCGATTGCACCATAATATAGTTGTATGCTTTGCATTACTAGTCTCCACCCCCCTCCAATAATTGCCATGTATCCAAATGCAATAATAATTCACATTCTGATTAAAATCAAACAGTAACTCTTTTGACAAATACTTTGGTTTGTGGTTAGTCAGTGTTTAATTATACTGGAATGTAAAACAAACCGTTTCTGTAATGTAGTTATGTACAGAAAAACGAACCCAATTTTTTAGTAAACCAAGTCCTTGTTGGTTATGTTGCTATTAAAAAAGTAAACAAATCACGCACGTTCATAGAGTTTTCAATGCCACCATCCATGTGCACTGTAACATAATTGGTGATTAACAGAACAGTCGTTATCAATTCATGTACACATAACTGCTAGAACAGTAGCATGTCAATTTTACTTCGTCAATGTTTATTTCAGTTGCAAAATTACATGTTTGTATTTAACCATTAGCAATTATAATCTGTATTCTGAAATTCAACTGGCCAAACTGACCTTCCATATAAACTCCTGGACTAATTAAAATAGGGAAAACAAGTGTAATAGTACATGGTTACTATTATGTGTGCTGACTGCCAGCTGGTGGAGCAGTCAATCTAGCAGTAGTCAGAACTCTCCCTTATCTTCTATAAATTTGCTAATGTCTACAAACCAATACCATTAAAGAATGAATTCATAAATGGTTTACTTCTCAATGTTTGCTACTTAAAAACAGTTTGAATTTTATTGTTATGTTTGCTACAAACAAACAATTTGAATTTTAACCTACCAAAAGGTTTCTAATGAAAATTTCAGGAACAAATACATAAATTTTATCATAGCGTTATACCACACCAAACATTAGTATAAAAGCATTTTGCAGTAAACATCAATGTGGGTCACTTCACTGTTGAAGGTTCACACTATATTATTGACTTTTACTGAAAATATAGCTGTTTATACATTCAATTTGTCACTAGAAACACAACGGAAGACTCATTAAATACTGGTTATAACTGTTTGATTTAAATGGGCAAACTCGTATATACAAATGTGTGTGCATGCGTCTGTGTCTGTATGCAGGTGTCCACAATCTACACCCTAAAACGTGTATGGGCTCGATCAGTTGTTCCTGCAACGATACCATTTCAGAATTTTCAAAAATCGCCACTAATTTCTGCATTATTGGCCAAATAGATGCATTTACTATAGCTGAGAGGGTCTATGTCCCCCAGGGTACTGCCGGAACAGACCCTGGGTACGGTCCGGTATACCGGAACGTACCCTGGGTACGGTCCGGTATACCGGAACGTACCCTGGGTACGGTCCGGTATACCGGAACGTACCCTGGTAACTATCT